GAACCCGGGGCTTCCCGGAGCCCTTTAGCGGCTTTGACTCCCTTTGCACCCCATAGCCCCCCTTTCTTTGCACACCTCTGCTTTGCCCTGCTGCCCCAGAGTCTACCTTTGGTCTGCTGCGCGAGTTCCATGTCCTTCTTAATCTGATCGGTTCTGTTGGATTCTTTTTCCTTTTCCTTTATTTCTCTCTTGTTGGCTTTGTGGTCTCTCCAGCCCACGTAGATGGCCCCCAAAAGGAGGAGGGTTAGCAGGGGCAGCGTCCAAATCAAAGCTACCTTCCATGGAGACGCCCTGGGGAAGAAGGGCTCTGACAGGGGCATGCGGGCACAGTCAGAGAGCGGTCTAGAGGGACCCCTTCAGCCTCCCTCTCCCTTTCCGTCCTTATCATCCCCCATCAGGCGCGGCCCTCACTGACCTGGGAGGAGGATGGCCGATGCTTTCTCTTGGCCATAGAGGAGATTTTGGACGGAGCAGGTCACACTGCCCAGGGTTTCATCTGTGACCACCAGAGACGTCTCCACGTGGAAGAGCCCATTGCTGTCCTGGGTCTGTGACTCAGCGGGGGAAGGCAGAGTCACTCCCGCACTGTCTCTCCACTGCACCTTGGGTTTTGGGAACCAGCCACTTGAGGAACATAGTACTCGGATCCCGTTCTCCTCCAGTCCTGTCATTCGAACACGAGGGGCCGAGCCCAAACCTGGGGAGAGGACACGTACCTGGAGCTTGTGGTCCTCCCGGCTCAGAGTGCTTGAGGCTGAAGGGCGTGCTGACCTTCACTAGATTAAAAAGCCTAGTGCTCAGGGGTCAGCTGAGGCTGGCCTGTGACTCAGTGTGACCTCAGCTTACTGCCTTTGCAAGTGCTTAGATGAGGCAATTTGGGGTCATTGCAGGAAGAGAAAAGATTAGGAGAAATTAAAACTTGAAAACTGGCCCAATTTTATCGATTGCTTTTCTGTCTTGATTTAGTGAAAGTTATGTTTGAGGGTGTCAGTATTACTACCAAATACATTTTCTGGGGTCAGTTAGGATGTCAAAACAGGTTCAGAGGCTGGGGAGGTAGACCAGTCAGTAAAAGACTTGTGAGAACCAGAGTTCAATCACCAAAACCCACTTAAGAAATCCGGGTGTGGAGGGGCTGGAGAGATGGCTCAGGGGTTAAGAACACTAGTTGTTCTTGTAGAAGAGTTCCAGGGGATCCAACCGCCTCTTCTGTCCTCCGTGGGCATTGCATGACACAGGTGCACTTACCTACATGCTGGTAATACACTCATACACATAAAATAAAAATAATAAATAAAATATTTTTTAAAATCCAGTTGTGGTGGCACACGCTTGTAATCCCAGCGCTGTGGAGGCAAGGACAGGTAGATCCCTGGGGTTCCCGAGCCAGCAGAGCTGAATGGTTGAGTGACTATCTCAAGAAACAGGTGGGTGGTGTCCTTTGGAACGATACCTGAGGTTTACCTATGGCATGCACAAAACATGTGCACACACACAACTAGAACAAACCCCTCAGGTTCAGAAGTGTTAACTTTGGTAATGTTAAACTCTACTGAAGTACACATTCTCATCCACATACACAATGTAGGAAACAGACATTCCCCAAATATACAGCCAGGACCACAGCCAGCTCTAGGCATCAGGAAGTCCTCAGCTTGCCCTTTGCCTCACATCGTGACTGACCTCCTGTGTCAAATTCACATACCTATAACATGAAGCTCAACTGAAGCCCCTTGGGAGGTGGCCCCATCTGTAAAGTGACACCAGTACTGGCCACTGTCAGAGGCCCTGACCTGCTGTATCAGCAGAGTCACACTGCCCTTGGCAATGGCGTCTCCCAGCATCCGGGTCCTGCCTTGGTACTCCGGCATCTGCTCCTGTCTTTGCTCCTGTCCATTCTGGAAGACCAGCACAGCACGGGAGAGCTGAGTGTGGTACCACCGGATGTGCATGTGAGCCACACTCTGTGGAGGAAACACCTGGCAGGGCAGGGTGGCATCCGCTCCCAGCAGGACTCTGAGTGGCACAGCTGATCCCTTCACTGAAAACCTGGACACATCTGGGGACCAGAGACAGATTGTGAGAGCAAGTTAGAGACATGAGATTAAAATACCCGTCTGCATTTTCATATTTAGGGACCTAAATATATTTCTCCTTTGTTATTTTCCAAAAGTGTTAACATTTTATTTAGTTTAAAGATTAATTTTTATTATTTTAAATTATGTCTCTGTGTGTGTGTGTGTGTGTGTGTGTGTGTGTGTGTCTATGTGCATGTGAGTACAGGTGATTGCTGAACTTTGGATCCTCTGGATCTGGAGTTACACAGGTGGTTCTGAGTCTGCCGATATGGGTGCTGGGAATTGAATTCAGGTCCTTTGGAAGAGCTGTAAGCCCTCAAGTGCTGAGCCATCCTTCCAGCCTCCCCAAATGTATTAAATTTTAATACTTATAAATCTTAATAGATATATGTGTGTGCATTCCTTTCTCCCCCCCCCCCCGTGTGTGTGTGTGCGTGTGTGTGTGCGTGCGTGTTCTGAGGTCTTTTAGGATGTCAACATTGTTCAGAAACATTAATTTCTTTGGTATTTGAAATCTAATAGAGTTACACAGTGTTATGTCATTGCATAGTTTAGGAAACTGACATTCTGCAAGTATATAAATACATCCTAACTCACAAGAGCAGTAGGAGTCAGAGAGAGGGAGGGAGGGAGAGAGAGAGAGAGAGAGAGAGAGAGAGAGAGAGAGAGAGAGAGAGAGATTAAAAGTCTAATTAGGAGGTGACTGGAGTGAGGAGAGGTCAGGTGGTTGTCAGAGAACTGAGTATGAGCTTAGAGGTCATGGTGGTGGCCAGTGAGTCCCAGAAAGTGTGGGCAGGGAAGCTCAGGGCCAGGACCGTCACAGAGGCCATCGTGCCAGACGGGGGCCCTTTTCCCTCCAGGCTCAGGGTACCTTGGTACCTCAGGGGACGTAGGTTGTGGGCATTGGAAGTTTTGATGCTGGGGCTTGGTATAGTTTGGTGATGGAGTAGTTGCTTAGCATGTATGGTGCCCTGAGCTTGATCTGCCTTTATGTTCACCACTTGACAGAAGATCAAGGAGATGAAAATACCATTCGTGTGATCGCCTACCAACCCAGGGTCTGAAAAGTTCACACAGAGAGGTCCTTTTATTTTATGAAAGACGGACTCGTGTCTCAGAGAGAACAAGTGATTTATCCAAGATCACAACCAAAGAGAGTTGAGGAATTCTGAGTCTAAACCTTTTGTTCTCCCTTGCCCACACACTCTATTCCCTCAAACCATGAGCCAAATTAAGCCTCTGCCCCATCGACCCTCCCCACCCAAGTTGCTTCTTGTCAGGTATTTTGTCAGAGCAAGGAGAAAACAAACACAGCTGTGAACGTTCACATAGTATTTTGTCTCCCCTCCGGAGCTGAGGACCAAACCCAGGGCCTTGCGCTTGCTAGGCACTGAGCTAAATCCCCAACCCCCACATAGTGTATTTTAACAAACAGATACAAGCAAACAGGCTGACCTCGCCACGCTCAGTGAAGGTTTAGGTAGACAGTACAGTTCTGAATTTTATGAAAACTATCAAATGAAAGGGAGGAAATTTCCTTGTTCAGAGGAAGACTGAATACATTTACATGAGAGAAGTTATTAAAAAAACAAAACGATAAGTAGAAAGCACGAGGCGGAACACCAACCTGCGGACAATCCCGGGGACGCCAGGCAAAGCAGAAGGAGGAGAGAGCCGGCTGCAGAGAAGCCAGCGTCAGTCATCTTCAGAGTGGAGCGTCAAGTTCACTCTGAGGAAGGCAGCAGGCGCAAGTTCTTAGACTTACCGCCATCCACATATTTCTAGCTGTTTCTCCCTCACAAACCTTGAGCCCAAGCCCACCGACTCCCACCCTTCTTCAGGGGTTTTTATTTCCTCTTTTCATTCTGAAAACCAAAGGTTTTCCACAGGTGCAGGAAACTGTCAGCTGTTTCTGCGCCCTGGGTGATATCTTGCTTTTTTGTGGGT